GCCACAGCGCCACTTCCGGCTTTTTTCTTTTTGCTTATGTGGTGCTGAGGAATCGAACCCAGGGCCTCTGGCATGAAAGACATGCGCTCTACCACTGAGCCACCTTCCCAGCCCCATGGCCTGTGATCTTGAGAGAGTAGTTCAGGGAGCAGATACAGGAGGATGATGAGACTAATACTTCCTCGTTCAGGAAGTGGGTTAGGAAGGAGGAAGGACAATGGGGAAAGGAGAGCCATTAAGGAGCCTGGTCAACCTCGACCCCTGGAGAGAAGGGACTCTTACCTGTCAGCCAGTCTGGAGCTCAGGTCTGCGGCCTGTCTGAGGCTGCCCTGGGCCGGCCTGCACACGGTCATCACGTCAGCATGTGGAGAGGCTCCAGATGGCCTGGGGGGGACAGGGGTGCACACTCAGGGAGCCGCCAGCCCTGCCCCAGAGGAGCCCATCCAGGCCCTGACCCCACATGATTCCCGACAGCTTCTATGGGGGAGGGGCCGAGGCACCATTTACAATCCCTCCCCCAGGAGGAGGCAGGCATGACCCAGAGCCCCCCCCAGACCCCTCCCCCCCCACAATCCCTTCATAGATACCTTTTTGCAAATGTCAACAACAATCAAAACAAACAAAACACACTGTAACTCCTCCTTATCCACTACGGATTCTTTCAAGTTCGGGCGGGGCCTACAAATAGACTTTACTACCTGAGTGCCTACAATGAAGGTTAACCTGTGAATTAAGACATCTGAGCCAGGCGTTGGTGGTTCACACCTGTAATACTAGCTACTCAGGAGGCTGAGCTCTGAGGATCACAGTTCAAAGCCAGCCCAGACAGGAAAGTCTGTGAGACTCTTATCTCCAATAAAGCACCCCAAAAGCCAAAAGTGAAGCTGTGGCTCAAGTGGTAGAGTGCTAGCCTTGAACCAAGAAGAAGCAGCAGCAGCAGCAGCAGCAGCAGCAGCAGCTCAGGAATAGTGCCCAAGCCCTCAGTTCAAGTCCAAGGACTGGCAAAAAAGAAAAAAAGAAAAGAAAAGAAAGAAAGGAAGGAAGGAAGAGAGAGAGATAAATATTGCATAAGTAACAGCATACTGTAATAAAAGTTATGTCTGGGCGCTGGTGGCTTATACCTGTAATCCTAGCTATTCAGGAGGCTGAGATCTGAGGATCACAGTTTGGAGCCAGCCAGGGCAGGAAAGTCTTTGAGACTTTTAACTCCAACTAATCACCAAAAAGCTAGACACTTCTGGCTCCACTAGCTGTGGCTCAAGTGGTAGAGTGCTACCCTTGAGCAAAAAAGCTCAAGGACAGTGCATACACATACAGGACTGGCATACACACATGCACACACATATGCACACACATGTGTATGTGTGCACCCAGCCACAGACTGCAGGGTGCCAAACACACCTTGGTGCCAAAGTGGTAGATTCAGGATACCTGGGGCTCCCATCCAGCTGGACAGAAACAACTGATAGGCATGATGCTTCAATAGCAGCCCCTCGGAACTGCTCAGATGATGAAGCCATGGGAGATGACCGGCCGTTTGGGAAAGTGTCATCACCCCGTCAGCCACTCCCAGTGGCCAGGTGCTGTCTCTTGACCAGGGGTACCGAGATCCAGCAACTCACATTTCTTTTTCTTTTTGTGTGTGTGCTCATCCTGGGGCTTGAACTCAGGGCCTGGGTGCTGTCCCTGAGATTCTTTTGCTCAAGGCAAGCATTCTATCACTTGAGCCACAGAGCTACTCTGGGCTTTTTCTGAGTTTATTAGAAATAAAGAGTTTTACACAGGGGCTGGGAAGTTAGCTCAGTAGAGCCTTGCCTTGCATGCCTGAGGCCCTGGGTTCGATTCTTCAGCACCACATAATCAAAAAGAAAAAAGCCAGAAGTGGTGCTGTGGCTCAAGTGGTAGAGTGCTAGGCCCCATGACCGGGACATCCCCCCTCACACACACACAAAAAAAGTTTTACACAGACTTTCCTGCCCAGGCTGGCTTCGAACTGTGAACCTCAGATGTCAGCCTCCCAAGTAGCTAGGATTATAGGTGTGAGCCACCAGCACCCAGCAACTCACATTTTTTTTTTTCCCATGTAACTTCCCAAAGTCCCTTTCCCCCAAATCCTCCATCTTCTCCCAGGTTGCCCCAGCTGTCAGGTGACACGTGGCTGCCCAATGTTTAGCCTGGGCATGGTGTCCACCCCCAAGATATCAATGAACTTTGCGGAACAGGGAGAGGGGAGGCCAGAGAGGAAGAGACCGAGAAGGGGAGCTAGGAGCCTATTATAGAAAGTGAAGCAGGAAACCATGATCCAAACAGGCAAGGAAGGAAGAGACCCGGTCCATCAGGCCGGCTATGTGCACAGAAGAGGACTTAAAGCTTGGGCCTGCCCAAGCAGCTCAGCAAACAATACCACAGTTTGAAGGCACTGGTGACTCACGCCTGTAATCCTAGCTACTCAGGAGGCTGAGATCTCAAGATGGCAGTTCAAAGCCAGCTGTGGCAGGAAAGGCTATGATACTCTTATCTCCAATTAACCTCCTAAAAACTAGAAGTACAACTGTGGCTCCAAATGGTACAGCGCTAATCTTTTTTTTTTTTTTTTTTTTTTCCGGTCGTGGGGCCTGAACTCTGGGCCTGGGCACTGTCCCTCAGCTCTTCAGCTTAAGAATAGTGCTCTACCACTTGAGCCACAGCGCCACTTCCAGCTTTTTCTGCTTATGTGGTGCTGAGGAATCGAACCCAGGGCCTCATGCATGCAAGGCAAGCACTCTACCACTGAGCCACTTTCCTAGCCCCTATAGCACTAATCTTGAGCAAAAGACCTCAGCAACAGCCAGGCATTGGTGGCTCATGCCTGTAATCTTAGCTACTCAGGAGGCTGAGATCTCAAGATGGCGGTTCAAAGCCAGCTCTGGCAGGAAAGTCTGTGAGACTCTTATCTCCAATAAGCCACTGAAGAAAACCGAAGTGATGGGGGGGGGAGGGGAGGATGGGAAGGGGAAACAAAGGAGGAGGCTACAATGCTTGATAAGAAATGTACTCATTATCTTGCCCATGTAATTGTAACCCCTCTGTACAGTATTTTCACAATAAAAAAGAAAAGAAAAGAAAAGAAAACCGCAGTGGCACCATAGCTCAAGAGCACTAGTCTTAAGAGCTCAGGAATAGCATCCAGGCCCTGAGTTCAAGCCCTACAACCACTACCACCACCACCACCACCAAACAATAGAGGAGCGTACATTCTGGGGTAGACCTATGTTGTAACTGAGGCTGGCTCCTGATAGAGCAAGCCTGGAAGGCCTTTCAGGGACAGGAAGGAACTCATTGTCTGTCTCATAATGCCGGGCACAGCTAAAGCTTCTGAAGCCCTTCCACGTGGCTGGGCCCACAGACACTGCCCTTCTGTCCTCATCTGGCAGAGGGCCCCGCTGGACCCCAGGCAGGGCAGCCCCTCCCCGCCGGTGTGCACTCCCGCTCCGCACAGACCCGGCCCCTCCGGTCCAGCTCCAGCTATGTCAGCCAGCGCCGCCCCCACCTCACGGCTCAGGCGGGCGCCTCTGCACCGCTATGCCGGGGCGTGGGGGCAGACGCCGGGAGGCACTCCCAGATGAGCCCAGGCTCCATCCTGGTCCCCAAAGGATCAGAGCACATTGTTATCGATGCACAGAGAGCCACGGTGCCATTCTCAAGGCGATCTTCACCTCGCACAGAATGGTACTAAGTCATCTTACTCAGCAGAGAAACTCCCCACTCCAAGCCAGGTGCCAGTGGCTGACGCCTGTAATCCAGGTACTCAGGAGGCTGACAGCTAAAGATGGAGATTCAAAGCTGGCCTAAGGAAAATTCAAGAGACTCTTCTCCCCAATTAACTACCTCTTTCCCCCCAACAAAAGGCCAGAAAAATGGAGCTGTGGCTCAAGTGGTAGAGTGCCAGCTTTGTAAGAAAAAAAAACAAAACTCTTCAGCACCCACGCCCTGAGTTCAAGCCCCACTACTGGCACAAAAAAATAAAAAAAAAAACAAAACCACCACTCCAGGAAAACCACATTCTGAGAGCAAGTCAAGTGGATCCCGAAAGGCCCCCTATCTGTAGCCAGCACCAGCGCTTGTGAACTCACGGAGGTACTGAAGAAGCTGCTCCTGTTTGACTTTCCCTGTTTGCCTCTGGCGAACAAACACTGTAACGTAGGTGACAGGCCTGGCCCCATGCTCTAGCTGGGGGTCCTCAGTGACTTCAATGACGGGGACACACTTTATTATCATTCTACAAGCCTGGGAGAGAAAGAGAGCCATTTCCTAAAGGGTGGTCCACGGAGGATCTGTTCTAGTTAACCTGGCAACCTGCTCAGATTTCTGAGCACCTCTCTAGGGCTGGCCTGGAATCTGCATTTAAATATGGCGAAGGCCTTAGATGGACCAGCATGATGGCCTAGGCCTATAAAGCCTAGCTACTCAAGAGTGGGAAGTAGGAGGATGGAGGCTGGAAGTTACTTGAGGCAAAAATTAATGAGACACTAGCTCAAAAACAAGCTTTAGACCAAGTGCAGCAGCTTTCATCTGTAATCCCAGACATATATAGGTAGAGGCAGCAGAATCAAGGTCTGAGGCCAGCTCCAGCTAACTTAGTGCAAGACTCCAGCTGCAAACTAAACTACAAAGGACGGAAGTGGGTGCTCCAGTGACAGAATGCTTGCCCAGCAAATTCAAGCCCCTGAGGTCAAGCCCCAGTACTAAGTCACAAAAAAATAGCCCTTCATAATTTCTTTTGTACAAACCAGCATTCCCTTTCTTCCTAGACAATCCAGCCTTGTGATTCAGACTATTTACCAAGAAGGATAATGAATGAATGAAAACAGCAATGCATTTTCCTGCTCAGTTGCTTGTCACAGAAAGAGAACATCCCATGGGAAGGTGGCTCAGTGGTAGAGTGCTTGCCTTGCATGCCTGAGGCCCTGGGTTTGATTCCTCAGCACCACATAAGCAGAAAAAGCCAGAAGTGGTGCCAGAAGTGGCTCAAGTGGTTGAGTGCTAGCCTTGAGCTGAAGAACTGAGGGACAGCGCCCAGGCCCAGAGTTCAAGCCCCACAACCAACAAGAAAAAGAGAATATTCCATGAATCAGATGGTCTTATTACTAATAATTTTAATCATTAGTAATAATAACTTAAGACATAAAATTTTGAAGCTGGAAGATGGGTACATAGAGCATATAGGGTTGTTGGTTTTGGGGGGTTTTTTGGGTGGTGATGGGAACTGAACTCTGGGATTGGGCACTGTCCCTAAGCTCTTCAGCCCAAGGCGAGCACTCTACCACTTGAACCACAGCTCCACTTCTGGTTTACTGAGTGGTTT